TGAAAAAGACTCGTACCTCCTAGTGAAATTAACATTGAAACCTTCACATTTTCTTCAACCTTATTAACAGTGAACAAATGTTCTAATCTTTCTATGTAGGATTCAAATTCTTTTGGAACACCGGTAAAAGCTTTAAATTACCTATCAACGCCATGTTGCTGGCTACAATAACTAATATAAACCACCTCTCTGTATAAACTCTATCGTAAATAGGAACTTTTTTTTATCTCGTCGCCAAAATGTTATGTTTGAGCCCGTGATAAATACTATATTATACTTAGGTTACTTTATTAGCAAATATACATTACAGAGATGAGAAAGAGCTTGCAGGAGCGCCTAAAAGGAGGACTTCGCAAATCGTGCCGTGACGTCACCAATCAGTTTCTAAACGTAAATAAATTGATGTCACCACAAACACTTGATTTTTGGTATACCTAAGAAATTATTTTTTGACTGTAAATTCGTTGGTATTTTAATTGTAGATTTCTTTCTTCAAAAATAAAAGAAAATGGGAGTGTTTTGTCTTGAGTGTAATAAGATGTTTCAGACCCAATCAAGTCTTAATCTTTTATTAACAACTGTGTACAATATATTTGCTGATCACTGTTGGTTTACTTAATCCAAACCTGTTAAAAACTCTTCATTACACCAATTACAATTATTGTCGATCCTCTCTCAAATATTATACCTTATAGCAGTGGTTCTCAACCTTTTTGTGGCGACGGAACACTTTTAATTACCGAAAAAAATTGCGGAACACCAAAGCAATAACATGCATATATTGATAAACAAATTAGAATTAGCACATAAATTCTGTAATAAACTTTATTATACGTACTCAAATTTGTAAAATTTTACTTAAAATATGAAAACAAAAAACATTTTTAAAATTAACAAAAGCGTAATTCTCAAAATACATTATATGAGTAAATACTTCAAATTAGTGAGACACTTGTGCCTGGTGTTGTTTGCAAATTTGCTCAATATCAGGCCTGATGTGGGAAAGAGCTACTCTCATTTCTTGTTCTAAGTTTAGCAGCCTTTCCCGTTTCTTATTTTTAATGTTTGTTAAAGATGAGAACCCAAATTCACATAAATAGGACGTTGAAAACTGTATTAAAATACTAATCGCTTTTTTGGCAAGAAGTGGATATTCCTCTTGGACCAAGATCCAAAATTCCTGAACATTCACTTCTGAAAACTTAATTTTCAGAGTACGATCAGATGACAACGAAATAAATTCTTCTTCTTGGTTCAGAGAAAACTGTAAATTGGCTGTATTACTTGTGCTAAAAGGACTTCTTATCCAGTCATATTTTTCTACGTTCAGAGATGGAAAATACCTGGCAATTGTCTCCTCTAATAGTAATAAGTGTTCTGTAACTATATGCGTGATTTCTTGTTCTTCATCTTCACCACCTTCATTCTGAAGCAGTGGAAACATATCCATTTTATTTGTCTCTAAAATGCGCTTCTTCCAAAATGACAATTTTTTTCTGGAAAGCTGACAGCTTGTCCGTGGATGTTAAAATATTTTCATTTTTGCTTTGCATACTTGAGTTAACGCCATTTAAATAATTAAAAATATCGGCCAAATATGCCACTTTAGTGCACCATGCATCATTTTCAAAATATGTGGTAAATGTGTCATTACCTTCTTCTTGGAAAAAAGTTAACAGCTCCGTTCTAAGTTCATAAAATCGACATAATACTTTGCCCCTTGACAACCATCTAACTTCGGTGTGCAGCAACAAACATTCATACTTTGATTCCATTGAGATGCAGAGTTGTTTAAAAAGACGGGTTTTTAGTGGTCTTGATTTGATGTAATTCACGACATTAACCACTTGGTCTAATACGAAGGGGCACCATTCGTACAAATTCCTACGCAAAAGTCCCATGATATATTTTTTTCTCTAAATATGACGTTATGGAATCAAATACATCCTGACCTGTTGTACGTGCTGTAAGTTCTCTGCAACATAAAAACTGATTGACTATTTCACCTTCGTCGACAAATCGAATAAATCCTAATAAATGAGCTTTGCCACTAATATCAGTGGATTCGTCCACCTGCAATGCGAAGTTTTTTTTGTAAAGTTTATTTGTAACTTTTTCCTCAATATCTGCAGGTAAATCAACAATCCTCCTTCTTATTGTATCATCCGACATAGGAATTTTCCGTATTTCGTTTTGTGCATCGTTGCCAAACATAATTTTGACCATCTCACAACATGCTGGTAATATAAGAGATTCTGCAACAGTGTGTGGTTTCTGTTTCAAAGCAATTAATTCGGCGACCTTATATGAAGCTATTTGTGCTTTATCGGAAATTGTTAGCGACCTTTCAAATTGTTTCGCTTGTTTAGCTTGTGTCTCCAAAAGTCGCTTGAAATAATCTTTATCTTTTGAAGCTACACTAGCGAATTTGGTAGTAAAATGGCGTTTTAATTTAGCCGGAGCCATTGCGCTATTTGCGAGTGTCTGCCCACAAACAATACACTTGGGAATTGGACAGTCTTCTTCCCCAGTCCAAATGAGAACGGTTCGGTTGAGAACCACTGCCTTATAGTTATATAAGTTCATCATCATCATCAACTAGCCTCTAACGTCCACTGCTGAACATAGGCCTCTCGCATGCTTTTCCACTTAGTCCGATCTTGCGCCATCTGAATCCAATTTGTAGTCACTCTTTTTATGTCATCTGTCCATCTCGTTGGGGGTCGACCTCTATTTCTGTAAGCTTGTATTCGGGGTCTCCATTCCAAAATTCTTTTTGTCCACCGGTTATCAACTGATCTTGCTACATGACCTGCCCAGTTCCACTTTATTTTGTAAAATTTTTTTAAGTTACATATAACTTATTCCGTACTTTATTTGACAAATAAATATATGACATTTTATCTATCGGTAAGTTTATTCGAAACTGAAAGGCTACCTTTTTCATCTGCCAGATAAATACTTAATCGGAGGTAAAGAAACTTCCCGTATCATAGCGACGATTTTATTATATTTAATACAACATGATTGGTGACGTCACTCCATCTTCATATCTGTCAAGTGTGACGTCATGGCACAATCTGCGAAGTCCTCCTTTTAGGCGCTCCTGAGCTAGCCTCCATTTCCTTGGTTACTTGTCAACTGTCGTCGTTGACAGCCCAACGCAACATTGCCAAGTAACACAGAAACTTACAATATTAAATACACATCAATAAGTTGATCCAAGAATATATCAGCCGATTTGGAGTGCCTTTGGAGATCCATAGTGACCAACTTCGAAAGCGATCTATTTCAAGGAATATGTGATACACTAGGCATGAAGAAAACAAGAACTACAGCATATAATCCGCAATCGGATGGTATGGTAGAATGGATGAATAGGACAGTTGGCAAGTATTTGACAAAGATGATGTCCGATCATCAGCGAGACTGGGAGAAATATCTTCCGTTCTTCACAATGACCTAAATGGACGATGTACACGAGTTGGTCCGTTCCCATCTTCAGATCGCTAGTGACCGAATGAAGAAACGGTACGATACGCAAGCCGAAAAGGGGTGTTTTAAGAAGGACGGCAAAGTCTGGCTCTTTAACCCCAAAAGGCGAAAGGTTGTTCTTCCAAGTTGCAGCAGTTTTGGGAAGGTCCATACCTAATTATAGAAAAGATCACTGATGTCATTTACCGAATAAACAAGATTCCTAGGGGAAAGCCGATGATAGTACACCATAACCGGCTGGCATCTTTCGAAGGTGACCACGACGTAGATGAAGAAGTGGAAGTAAACCTAGTCCAAGATGTGTCTAACCTCACGTTTGAGGAATTCATGGGTACCTATGGAGGTACCGGTAAAGCAAGACATGGTGTTACCACTGAAGAAAGGCAGGATCTACTCGCGCTTCCCGATGACTACTCACTGACCCTCACCATCCCGGCCAGTATCAAAGACGCACCAGGGTTGGCATCCGTCTTTCTAAGGAAGTTTGGTCGAGTTGCAGAACTTCAATGCCAAGTTCCAGCTTCCGGTAAAACCTTGAAATACCAAGATGCATCACGTTACCTTTTCTACCTGGTAACAAAAGACACTGCCCGTAACCAACCTACCTACCTACCGAGATGTATGGGAAGCCTTACTTCAATTGAGAGAACACGTACTAGAGTCCGACGTGCAAAAGTTAGCCATGCCAAAGTTGGAGTGCCGCCAATTAGATTGGAGGGTTATCCGAAATATGGTGGAGGAGATCTTTAAAGACACCGAAGTCCAGGTATTAGTCTGTTGCAATCCGCATAGTTACTGGTGCGGAGATAAAACCGCCCCTTGTCATTTTTATACAACTGGAAGTTGTAAAAGAGGGTCCAGTTGCCGATACCAGCATGTCGTTTCAGTTCCAGTCCCGACGAGGTTCCAGGAGGAACCATCTTTTAAGAGGGGGGCAATGTTACGATAAACTCTGCCCCAAAACCGTAAACATATTTATTACTAATATTTTATTCGTTCACGTATTTTGTAGGTCATATACTACCGAACTCTCCAGAAGGATTCGAATAAAAACTTCAGGTAACAAGAATGCAGCGTGCGGCCCGACCCTAGGAAAAAAACATGTTTATATTCTATACCAGACGAGAAGGCGATCGACTTTTCTAGTCTAACTGTATTGGATATTTAACGGGACCTTTTTGGAGAAAACAGGCAGTCAGAAAAGAAAATTCGCGACGGATATAATAAATTATTATTGTAAGATAAATTCTTATAAATAAAATTTAAATAAATTAAGTTTGTAAGTGTTATAAATATTGAACCTTTAGTAAATTAAAATAAGAACAATAAATTAGAATTAATAAAAACATTACAATAGCTTATTATTACACGGTATTGCCGTATTTCATGTCCATTTACTGGGTTATTAAGGTTTTCACTGACTTAAGTGAAATCTATTATTTGGAATATCATTTCTGCTGTTAATTTAGTTTCAAAAACAATAAGTAATAAATACTTATTTGTAGGATGGATCAGAAGACGACTCCGTTAAAGATAAGGACTGGGTTCATACTGATATCTCAGAAAGTAGTAATGAAGTATGCAGTATGCAGAATTAACTAACATAAAAGAACAATTCTGTTGGGAATAATGATGAGAATACACATCTAAAGAAAGTTTCTTCTCGATGTAGAAAATCTGATCCCTCTAAATGGTCAAAAAATATTGAGAAGAAAAATAAGTTTAACTGTTTGCCCTATAAAACAAAAAAAGGTATAAAGCCAGCAAGGATTCCACAACCAGCAAATTTTCAATCTTGTAAATTTAAATGTGGTCAACATTTTTCGGAAGTGGATACGATCGGCATTTGTAAAAAGTACTGGTCTCTTTCTCATTATAAAAGACAGAAAGATTTCATTTTAAAAATGGTTTAAACAAAAGAACCGGCGAGACCTTTGGCAAATGTTTCAATTAATAAAAAGAGAAAGTGCAGCAGAGCATACTTTCTTATAAGCAATCACAAGAAATATCGAGTCTGTCAGCATTTCTTTCAAAAAACTCTTAATATTAATAACGGTCCTATTAATAAAGCCTTTAAGGGTTCTAACGATGGTGTTTTTACGGAAGAAGATAGATGAGGTAAAAAATCCCCTCATAATAAAATTAAACCAGAAGATGTGGCTTTTGTGAAACAACACATCGAGATGTTTCCTACAATAGAGTAGTCTCATTATTGTAGAAAAAATACTCACAGATGTTACTTAAATGAAAAATTGTCTATTAGAAAAATGTTATCCTTGTATACCGTTCGTTGTAACGAGAAAAATCGAGTTCCGGTGAGTCACTCAAAATACAGAAAAAATTTTTGTGAGTGTTACAATTTATCATTTTTCAATATTGTTCTGAAGCTATTTTCTTGTGGCATTGTAAATTAATTACTATTAAACTGGTTTAATAAAATTTAGTAAAATAGTGGCTTATTCCCAGTTTAATAGTAATTAATTATCATTTTTCGTGCCAAAAAAGGATCGATACACCCTCTGTAATAAATTTAGGGATGCAAAACGAATAGATTCTGTAACACCTGAATTAGAACAAAAATACAACGCCCACTTGGAAAGAAAATGGCAGGCCACAATTGCTAAAGAAGAAGATAAGATCAGATCTGAAAATGACCCCACATTTATGTCTGCAACGCTTGACTTACAAAGTGTTTTTCAATTACCGTCTGGTGAAGAGTCTCTGTTATATTACTGTCGTAAACTTTGCCTTTATAATTTCACTGTTTACGAGTCACGGTTTCCAAATGAAGCATATTGCATGCTGTGGTCTGAGGTGAATGGTAGAAGATGCAGCAATGAAATTGGTACAGCTTTAATGCAATGGATTAATGGACTTCCAAAGAATATTAGAGAGATTTCATTGTTTTCAGACACTTGTGGGGGTCAAAATCGCAATCAGCACATTTCCGTGCTTCTGCTCTATTTGACCCAAACTACTCCTATTGAAATCATAGAGCAGAAATACCTAGAATCCGGACATTCTTTCATGGAAGTTGACAGCACGCATAGTGCCATTGAAAGGGAAAAAAGGCATGTGTGTTATGCATAATGAAAAGAGCCAGATCAAACAGAAACAGAAGCTCCGCTAATCCCTACCATGTCAAACAGCTGCATTTTTCCGATATGTTGGATCTTAAAGATCTCTCAAAATGCACAATTAAAAATCGTCTGAAAGATGAGAATGGTAACACAGTCAGATGATTTGAAATCAAATCTTGACGATATGAAAAATCAAATCCAGGCATAATAAAATTTCGGTACAGTTACACAGAGCCCTATATTGAACTGAACGTACGAGGAAGAGGTCGGAAAAATTGTGCGAATGAAATAAAAAGAGCTTATAATCAACTACTGCCTATTAGTAACAAAAGCCGTTGAGGATGACGAATAAGAGGAACTTTTTTAATATTTTTTTTATTATAACTTATTACAATGTATTATGTAATAAATATAATAATATGCATTTATTATATTATACGTAATAAATAATTATTACTAAAACTCATTATTGTTGTTTTGTGCAAAAAATCACTAACTGATACTATTGCACAAAATACATAATATAGTATCTTCAAAGTATTAGTAACTTCAGATTAATCAATCTAAGAGCAGTAAATACACCTTAAAAAAGTTTGTTATAGAAAATTTTAAAAACCTGATTTATAGTGAAGACTTTTTCTTTAACTTCAAATATCTCCATAACATCAAAATGTTAGTTAGTGACTTCTCGCTGGGATATGACGATATAAATGTTAGTTTTTACATAAAATAGTGTTGTTATTATTTTTATTATTATTAAGGAATAGAACAAACAACTTAACGCAACAATATATTAAAGTAAGAATTGTAACCAAATTAAAAGATAACTGACCACTATAAGAGGCAGCAAAACATTTTAAAAACAGAACCACAGTTTTTCTAATAATAAAAAATGATGGAAATAAGAAACTCTCGAATGAAAGCAAGAGTCTGGAAGACCAAAACTATACTAAATCTAGGTATAAAAATATTATTTAAAATTAATAGTTTGTTATATCTCCATCAGCATTGATACATCTGCGTGAAAGGAACTATGAAATTGTCTTCTCCAGAGAGCTCTTTCCAAACCTGTTGTATACCGTGCCACAGCTCTTCAGCATTTTGAGGTATAAAATTAACACTTAGACTGCCGCCATAGTGAAAAAAAAGAGGGTCCTTCCAGTCGGACATATTTCTATCCCATATAAATAACATACAAGCGAGAATCAAAAGCTGATTCTCGTGGCAACAGAATCAAATTGGCCGTGCATCACGGCATGCTTCTCATGGCAGTCAAAGTGTTAAGCTGATACAATCGTTTTATAATAATCCCCTACACATTCTCGATTGGGTTTAAATCTGGACTGTAGCTGGGCCATGGTAAGGTTTCGATGTTGTTATTCTGGAGCCACTGGTTCAGTATATTTCAGTGTGAACAGGACAATTATCTTGTTGGAGGATAAAATTATTTTCTGGATACACTTGTTCTACATTGGGAAACATGTTTTCTAGAATATTCAGATAAGTCTACCCAACAAACCTGACATCAATACGCCATACCATTCCCATTCCTCTAGATGAAATCCATCCGCCTACATTGGCGCTAAAACCTCGATATCTATCAACATATAGAAGATATTAGAGAATTTTGCCCTTATTAGAAAATGGAAAATTTTTCTCATCTGTAAATATTACCCTATCCCAAAAATATTGATTTTTTAGCTGATGGTTTAAAGCAAATATAAGTCTTGATTGCTTCTGTTATGATGCAACAGCTTGTTTCTTTGCTGCAGTACGGTACCAAAGAAGCGATGCTTTAATTTTGCGCCAAGTTGTTGTCTTTCTTCCCAGAAACTGTGACATAATTCTTGCAGCTTTCTTTCGAGAGTTTCTTGTTCCCTCCATCTTTTATTTTAATATTAAAAACTGTTGTTCTGCTTACGTTAAAATAGTTCGCTACGGCAGATAGTGACCAATTATCTTCTGATTTCGTTACAATTCTTGCTTTTAGTTCTTTGCTAGCATGTGGAGCCATTTTTTAAGCTTGAACAGAATAAGTTATCTGACAAATTTTAAGATTTGGCAGTGACAGTGACACTGTGTAAATAATAAGTATTTATCCTTCAAAATACACTGCTCAATTTTCTACAAAATACCCTTTAAGAGTCGTATCAGTTTTTTTAAGAACCAGCTGTACATGTATATTTAAAATTTCAGGTATCGTCTATTATGTGAGAAGAAATTATTCTGGATACAATATCCAGGCAGTCCGATCTTAATAAGGAAAGGATTTTCATGAGGGTTTTTATTTATATTTTTGAATGCACAGAAATCAGTACGTACTGGCTAATTTGACCTAGCCAGTACTCCATGCAGGACAGACTGAAATAGAAAGTTTTCATTCCTGACAGGACGCATCCCAATGGCTAATAAGGAACGTCCTATGGGAATATAGGACAGATGTTACCTTGTTGATTTGTACATAACTCACAATCATACACACGCGCACACACATACACAAATACAAAATACATACTGAGTTGTTAAAAGAAGCGGGACGGGCGAATATTTCGCGAATTAAACATGGGATCCAAAAACTGAAACAGGTGTTAAATACTTTTCAAAAATCTATCAAATGGCATCAAACACGACCCCGCACACGCACTCCCTGGGGTGGGCGAAGGGCAACTTTAAAATATTAAATGAAAAACCGCATAGCACACAAACCACAAAAAGTAAACAAGTTTTATCTGAATTTTTTATATATGATAGATGGCGCTGTGATTACAGAAAAATATATACAGATTAGAAGTCTGCAAACCAATTTGTATGGTACTGAATACAGTTTTTTAAGAATGTTTTGTGAAAACACGGTAATTTCTCTAAAACCAGTTAATATATCTTTATGAAATTCTAGGATCATAAATGAACTGTTATTCTGCATTTTCTAGAGAACATTTCAAATTTATGTGACGTCAACGTTTAGCGTATCGGTGCCATCTTGATTTTTTTAAATACTAGCAGCAATCTAAATCGAGTGATATATCATAGAAAAGGTTATTTTTGCCTCTTTTCAGAAATACTAAGTACTATATTACTTATGAAAAATTCTACTACAATACAATTTTATTATTCCATTTTTATTTTTCACTATTTTTGGTACACCACTGATAGATAGATAATCTAAAACTAAAACCAGTAACATGCATTAAAAAAAATGTCTTAAAATGTTTTAAATTAGTCTTACTTCTATTTGATATCTGCAGTGTTTAAAAGTAATTTCAGAATAATGCCAAAATTATCAGAAAGAGAACGAATCGAGATGCTAATGTTAATTGGTTATGGTTATAGAAAACATACTTATGAAGAAGTAAGTCAACTCTTTAAACAATTTAAATCTTGAAAGACCTCCTATAAATAGATCAACGGTTTCTAAAATTTTTAATAAATTTAATGAAAACGGTAATGTAGGGGATCGCCCAAAATCTGACAGACCAAAAACTGCAACTAATGAAGATATGACTGTAGGTAGTTGTCCTTCTAGATGTTCAAGATAATCCTAAAACATCTACGTTTGAAATATCTAGAAATCATAGTATTAGCAGGAAGACAGTACAAAACATTTTACATAAAAATAAGTTCGAGTCTTATAAAATTCATTAAAAACCACTAAGAATCAACAGAAGATGATTTTGATCGGAGATTAGAGTTTTGTGAAACCGTTTTAGAGAAAATTTATAGACAAAACGATTTTTTAGATTCCCTTGTATTTAATGATGAAGTGACGATTCTAGTCAGATTCTAATCCACACTGGATGGATGAGACTCACACACAATATTCACAAAAAGTTAATGTGTGGGCTGGTTTAGTAAAACACCGTTTGATAGATTCGTTTTTTATTGATGGCGCACTTACCGGTGTAAAATACCTCGATTTTCTTCAGCATCAAATTATTCCTGAAATAATCAATTTATTTCCAAATATGACAGTGTGGTTTCAACAGGATGGCGCACCTGCACATTATCATAAAATTGGTAGGCAATATTTGAATACCGTTTTCCTCCAGATATGGATTGGACGAAGAGGCGCAATAGAATGGCCGGCAAGATCTCCCGACTTGACTCCACTTGATTTTTTATGGAACTATATTGAGGGCCGGGTCTATGTAAATAGAGCAACTAATTTAAATGATTTAAAGGATCGAATACGTCTTGAAATGCAGGCAGTTCTTCCAGAAATGATAAACGATTCTATTCGAAACTTCCAAGATAGATTGTATTTTTGCCAAGAAACAGACGACCAACACTTTGAGCATCTTTTCTAACAGCGCATTTTTTTTAGTTGTTACTTTTCAAAACTGTTCAACAATTACATGTATTATGTCTTTGGAAATTTTTCTTGTATTATATTAGTGGAATGGTGCATTACATTAGTACTATGGTACTTTTTTTTGTTGGTTTTGGTAGTGCTTAAAAGAGGAAAAAAATAAGCTTTTCTATTCACATTCGAAAAATACTGCCATTTAAAAAAATCAAGATGCCGGCGACACACTAAAGACTAACGCCACATAAGACATACTCTCTAGAAAATGCAAAATATCATTTCATTCATGATCCTAGAATTTCATAAATATATATTCATTGGTTTCAGAGAAATTATTGTGTGTCCATACTTTTTCGTTCTCCTGTATAATATAGTAGGTCTACCGAAGTCCCGAGGATTTGTATATCAGATCATGGAAGATTTACAACATGCTAATTGGCTGCAGTACGTCCTGTCGTGTAAAAGGGACTACTTCCAGAGAAACAAAAAAGTAAAATGGAAGTTTTATAACATAATACAAAATACGGAAATATTCAACCTTTTGAGATTACCGACACGGGAATAAAAGATGGGAGATGAACTAAAAATAAACAAGTATAAATAAAATGTACGAAACATATTATTAAAATGAATTAATGTCAAATTTTCCATGGCCCTAAATAAAACTGAATTTGATCGATGACATGGGTTATAACTTAAGAAAATTCCACAAGAAAGAGTCTAATGGGGCTAAATCGTACTATCTCAGTGGTTAGTTCACATCCCCTCCATGTGAGATGAACATGACCCCAAATCGCTCCTGCAGAATGTAGCATGAGTTGTGTGGCACGTAGAGCGGTCCTGTTGAACATGCCGACATTTTGTTGGGGTCTATATCATCCAACTCAAGCCAAAATAAGTTGGTAATCATCGATCTATAGCACTCGCTGTTGATTGTGGTGCCTTGACCAACATCGTTTTCAAAGAAATATGCACCGATGACGCCGTTAGTTCCAAATTTAAACCAAACAGTGATTTTCTCGGGATGCATTGGACGTTCTTTGGATTGGTATGGTTTAAAATTCGACAATTATGTTTGTTGACCTACCCATTCATGCAAAACTGGGGCTTATCGTTGAATATGACTTTTAGATGAAAATTAGGACCAGTTTTCAAATTCAGCGAACACACATAGTTGTCTATCGTCATTTACTTTCAGCTCCTGGGTCAGTTGAATCTTGTACAGTTGCAGACCCAAGTCAAGACGTAAAATCCGCCAAGGTGTAGTCTGTAAAAGGTTGAGTTCTTGTGAGCGACGTTAAATTGACTGCCTCGGATTCTCCGGCACACTCTCATAAAGAGCGGCGCTGATTTCGGCAGATTTTGCGTTTAGTCGATGTACGGGTATTGGATTATTGTTTACTAAACCAGTGAGCTCAAATTTATCCATTACACTGAAAATAGTCCTCTCGATAGTTCGATTATGGCGACCGTAAAATGTAAACTTTAACAAATGTAGCTTCAACAATATGGCCGCTAGCAACTCTTAAAGTTCGGAAGTTCCTATTGGAAGACTCTGTATAAATTGGGAAAAATAATAAGATAAGAAGGAATAAGTAGCACTATACATCCAATAAAACAAATAATTCATGGATACAAAGCTTCCAATCAACTGGCTAGAGAAGGAACTACAAACTTATTTATATAACCATACCCAATAGGTATGCCAAAATCTATCAAAGGGATAGCGAAATGGTGAATGTTCAAAAGCCACTGTGAGCATTGCAACCGGAGCTGGAGAAATCGCTTCTACATATAAACTAAATACGAAAATACAAACTGATATTTATTGATTAAATCTGGAATGACAAAAGTACCAATAATAATATTAACTTACCAAATAATCTAATTTTTGTGATGGATTGACCGGAGGCTGCTTGTATTGGTAACTTGGACTTGTGTTCTGTCTGTATGTGTCGATATATAACGGTTGTAAACTAGTCTCTTTTGCAGCAAAAATTTGATTATTTTCTGACGTCTTTTCTGTATTAGCCGCACTAGATTTCTGACCTAATCTCACCAAGGGACAAACAACGGGACGTATAGATAATATTTCTATACTTTCTGGACACAGATTCATTTCTCATAGGAACCTAAAAGAACACAATGAAATGTATACGTACATGCTGTTATCAGACCTACTATGGTTTTGACTGTTTGCTTGCCTTTGCTTATTAGGTCTGCCGTAAATTTTGGCGAGTGTTCTGTAATTAACTGTTTCGCCTTCTTGTCCTGGTCAATTCCTTCACCATTCCAGAGAGTGAGAATGTAAAAAGTATAGTTTAATGACTAAAGATATTTTTGCTTTTTGTTATTCTTTTATTTATACATGGAAACTCTACTTTTAGAATTATTTTTACATGCCTACACAATGGGATATGAGACACTATTGTGAATTGTCTCCTTTCTACAACACAAGAAGCGGGCCAGACGTTGGAACCGGCTAAGTATATAGACTTATCCTTCGTCGAAACAATTTCCAAGTCGAACTGGTAATAATAATGCTGGTTGAATTTAAGAGCACTTTATTTTATGTTGCACTTCGGTTTTTATTTTTACAAAAGTATTTGAGTAACAATAAACTATTTACTTTTCTGCTGTGTACGAAGGTTTACGTAGAGGGCGTGTATTTTACATCAAGTTTGAGAGTCTGGTGCGAGAGAGAAGTCTTGAATGTGAACTGTCCGGCACGAGGACCGGTGGTGAAGTCTGAGAGAGGAGTCTGATGTGTAGCTACTGTCCGGCAGAAGCCTCCGAATGCCGCTTTGATTCAACCTTTTATAGGGAAAAACAACCGCCGACTTTTAACGGTTGTAACGAATATTAACGTCCCATGAGGTGAGTTTTAAAAAGCCACTTTTTTATACATTTACGAAGAAACATAAAACAATAAAACTGAAAGATTTATTTCCATTTTAGGATTCCGAGAACGAATGAATATTGTTGACCCAGTTTTAGGTAGACAAAAAACTTGTTTTTTGTAACAAATTAGAGAAGCGGTTGTTAAGAGTAAAAAACATAGATGACCAGTTGTGGTCGTAAAAATGATAATGTTTTATATCGAGAAGAGGAGAATTGGCGGTAAAATAAGATCGAAGTGTGTTTGGATACCAAAAGAAGCAACTTATTTTAATGGAAAGCGGGCGGACGAGACCAAAAACTCGTTTTATTTGAGTTGAGATATATGAAAATAATTGGAAAATATTTTAGTGTTTTATTAATAATTGTAACAAAATAATGAGGGATTATTGGTGGTATGTTAAGACTTAAACAATACATAGTAAGACAATTTAATAATTTTTTAACTGCCAAGATTCAATTCTGCAACAAACATTATCACAGAAATGTCATTTTTTAAAGCGCCAGTCAAAATACCATCATTTCATTCGTGACCTCGTGAAAGCTGCAGTGATAAACTGTTTAATTAAGGTAAGAAATTACTTTTTAGTTTTGTTGATTTATTATTGAAACTACATAATTGTTGATTTGTGCCACTTTGCAAGTGCATGCGTGAAATACCAGAGTTAAGTCAGTCTAACCAAGAGTCGTGTCTAAAAATAAACTAAAATACTATTATTTGCATTTGTTTACAATAATGCTAATGAACTCAATGAGAACACAATGAGACACTGGGTGATAGTACATAATGAGACTGTCCCATTGTGGACTCCTAAAGTTTCTACTAACTGCGTATTCTATAATGTGGTATAAGTAGAATAAAAGTTTATTACGTTTATTAAAGACATAGTGTGCAAAGAAAAACCAAGGAGTCGAGCGACATTCAGCTCCAATGATATGGCAAGTGCCGTACAAGATGTTTTGGAAAGGAAATCATTGAGACTTGCTACCATTGAACACGGAGCAAAATTTCAGGCATTACTGAGATATATCGCAAAAAAACGTACTGATCTAAATAATGATCGAATGGAACCTAATTATGTTGTACGACGTATGTTTTTAGAGGAACAGGAAATTTCTTGTGTGATTACATCAAAACTTGTAGCAAAATGAGTTACAGATTAAGAACCATTAAAGCACGAAATGTAGCATATGGTATGGCGATTAATAATAATATTCCACTTCCAGCGAATTGGATCAAGGATAAAATACCTGGAACAATGGTTCCATCCATTTTTAAATAGGCGTGGGAACCTCAGTATTCGTCAACCAGAGGGCTTCAGATTATCAAGATGAACATAATTTAATTCACAATGTACATGCCGTTTTTTCTAGATATCCATCACCTGTGTCTAATATCAGGATATATAACCTTGATGAAACTAGTACAACAACAGTGCAGAAACCTAAGAAAGTCGTGGCGGAGAAAGGTGGAAAACAGCTGAATACTTGTCAAGCGGTGAAAGGGATATCTTATTACCACATGTGTCGTTGTATGTGTTCTATGTTTTTCCAAGGAAATATTATAAGGAGCATATGAACAAGAAGTTCCATCTGAAACACTTGATTAAGTTTAGCATCAGTTCAATTGAAAATCCTCCCATATTGATCTGCAATAATCACGATAGTCACGTAACGTTTCACGTTGTTCAACTGGCAAAGGATAATTATTGTGTAATTATAATCACTCTGCATTCTCATTGTAGTAACAAACTGCAACCCTTTGATGTTTCAATCTTCGCTCCCTTTAAAGCGTATTACAATGCCACTATAAACTCATGGTTGCTGAGCCATCCTGGTAAATCTATTTAAATAAGCCAGATAGCACAATGTGTAGGATAGGTACATTATGAAAGCATTAACACCTACTACTATTTTGTAATGTTTTAATAAAACGGAAATTTGTCCCCATAATAGAGATATTTTTTCTGAAGCTGACTTCATTGGAAGTTCTGTGACTGATAGACCAAATGAAACTTAAAAGCCAAATCTACAACCAGAGTCGACAGAAATATCTATTGTGGTTTCCAATTAAGTTATATCATCCTCATCGAAGACACCTGAAAATCTCGTAGTATTCCCACCAAACTGAAAGACGGATAATGTCTTAAAACTCAAAGTCAATAGTCATCATCAATTAGCCTATGTTTGTCCGCTACTGAACGTAGACCTCCCGTAAAATTTTCCACCTATTTATGTCTTGAGCTTTCATTCATCTCCTCACGAGTTTAAAGGATTTCCAAAAGCAGAAAAGAGAAAAGGTGTGAAGACAAGCAAAACTACAAAGAGTGCAATTTTAAGTAGCACACCTGACTTGGATCAGTTAAAATTACAAGCAGCAACTAAAAAATTATTCCTCTGATTTAACATACCCGCAGGTAACTCAGAGAATGCCAGCATCTCAACAATCCACAATACACAACATGCAGATTTAGCAAAATAACCAATCTGATATGTACACAATTACAAATAAACTAGAAAACATTATTACTAAATTAGCAGATATATTAAGACGATTTATCAAGCCGCCTCAGAATCATTTAAATGGCTAGTATTGCAAATAAAATTAATATAATGCTTATTTCCGAAACGCACTTTACAGGTTAAAGTTGCTGGAAAATGCCAAATTATATACCAATTATATACCACAAATCAACCTGATGATACTGTAATTATCAAAACCAATATAAAACATTACTAACCAAAGGCAACTAAAATCAATTTTCTGAATTTTTTAAATCACTTGGATCAAGGGTCCTACCGTGAAGAAAACTTCCAGATCTTGAATTCTGTATTACCAAAGGTATAGCAGATACTCACCTAACAACTAAATCATGCTTCGACTTAACATCCGATCACTCGACAGTATTTCTCACCCTATCTTCTGAAATAATTTATTTATCAAGACCTCCTACGCTTTATTCATCAAAAACCAATTGGACTGAAGACTCGGCACAGCAGTAAAAGACCTGAAAAATGCTAAGTGATCTAATACATCAACTGCAAAATACCTGAGAGAGCTGTCACCATTAAAAGCCACATATTACACCATCTGAAAGGCTACCAGAAAATCGTTACGACCACAACAATATAATTATACCACCTATCAAAACGAGTAACGGACATTGGGCACGAACTGATGACGAAAATGAAAATATATTTCTCGAACACTTGGAAACTACCTTTATTCCATTTCCTGTGAATTACAGCCAGAGGAAGACGAAAATATTCATAGATGTTTGCACTGTCCATACCAGATGTCTCTGCTTATTAAACCTTTTAGAAAAACCGAAATTATTGACGCCATACTTAATACTAATAAAAAGAAAGCTCCTGATTTTAAGCTGATTACTGGATTCGTCTTATGTCAATTACCACAAAATGCGTTCCTCTTATTAACACAAATTTACAACTCGTTATTAGGAAGGTCCTTCACAATGAAAAGTAGCTCAAGTTATTTTTATCCACAAAAAAGGTAAATCATAATAATCCGTAACTTCATATATACCTATTAGTTTATTACTAAATCTTACTAAAATTATTGAGAAACTAATAATAAAGAAATTGACTTCTTTCCTAGAAGAAAACTGCTTAGTTCCTGACTACCAATTTGGTTTTCGACAAGACACGCTGCAGTTGACCAAGTTCACAGAGTTGTTAATATCAGTACACAACAAATACCATCTGAATACTATAAAATATTCAAATCCTACTTAACAGAGAGATATTTCCAGATAAAATACGTTACGGTAGTAACATCATTGAGACCTATAAACGGCGTACCTTAAGATAGAGTGCTTGGTCCACTCTTATATCTATTATACTCGGCCCACCTATTCACTTCTGATCAGTGTTCCTTGGCAACGTTTGTTGATGACACCGCCATCCTCTCGTCGGACTCAAATTCGATCGAAGCATCTAGAAGGTTAAAACGTCCACTTAACCCGTTTTCTGCTAGCGTAACCGTATGGTCACACTAAATGGCCCTTTTAAACGTACAATATTTAACACATACAGCGATATATGCAACTAGTAATACGACCACGTGGACTAGAGATATCTATGTAACGAATGACATACCCGGTACCTGATCAATTCGCTGGCAAAGTCGTGTTATAGTTGATGTTTGTTGGTGTTACAACGAGAAAGCATCAAAATGGACGTTCGCTTTGAGTAAGTAATATTTTTTAATCTT